AGTTATTATTGGTTAATAACTATTAAAAATCTCTAGGTTGAAGATAATCGTAATCAGCACATTACTGGAATGAGTGTCTTGTTCCGTTTAACAATAAACTGTTATTTACACAAGTTTCAGACCTCAGTCGAATGCGAATTGCAATACAAAGAAAGTCTCGGATTCAGCTGTAGCGGACAGGCGTGACTGCTACTGCCCCTCTTTCGCGACCTACAATACCGGAGAATCGACGAATTCCGTAACGACGAAAATCTTGACGGCGCTTCCTGCTAGTGATTCGTCTTTGAGTCTACTGTCCTGAGAGTTACAACGTCTAAGGTGTCTTCTTCACCTTATTAAGCAGCTTCCTTGGCAAGATCCCTTTGTGTTTTGTGCTTGTACAATAAGCTTTACAACACGTTCAACAATTACTAAAAAAATAAAAGCTTTTTCTCGCCTGCGACTATTGCAATGTTTTTGGCACCAAATCAAAGCAAATTGCTGAATTGCAGTCGTATAGCATTCTGACGTTAAGAAGCTAAATTCACGTTTTAAAAGAGTAAAGGAAACGATTACTTGGTCGAGGGTAATTTCCTGCCGAATCAGGGCAACGATTGCACGTCCGAGGGCATTGCTGGGTCATCAAATCGTAATAAACCGTATCATTGCACAGATGGCGATATCTTGGACAATCAGAAGAGCGGCCTGGCGCATTAAGGTCCACACATGGCGGTAATGGTGATGGCGGTGGTGCTCGTTGATCTGAAACGAAAAATTTGTAAGAAATAAACTAAAGAATTTATAGGGGATTTGCAGTGAAAGTCGAAGAGGAAGCTGAAAAAAAATCGTCTTCTCCTTCTTTGGCTCTCGCCTTCTGTTTTTCCTTCCACCCGTTCTCTTCGCAATCAATTTCGTTCTTCCATTAATTTGATTTTCTCTTTGACTGAGTCATATTTTGATATTTAGATCAGCAACACTCATAGTATCATTTCTCAGCCATATAGTGACTTCATTTTCGGTTGTTTTGACCAGTGTTGAACTGCCTAGTGGTTAGCTTGCTAGAGATCTTTCCACTGTTTTTACCTTCTCCGAAGATTGCCAGTCCAACGATCTTTTTACAAATACTTGGCAAAGCTTTAGTTGTTTCAACAAGTCCACAGCATTACCACAAATGGATCAGGTTGAGGTACTTTATCCACTGTGAGTCTAATTAAGATTACTTGTTCGTTGATTGAATCAACGACAGCTACTGTTGGAACTCAAAGCCTCTCTATTTATCAGTAGGTTCGTGTGTGGTGCAGCAATTATTCCTAATTAGGCATGAGTTATTATTCTGCTAAACTTTCGGAATACGCTGAATTTTAGTAATTTCGCATGAGGTTTCATTTCGAAATTTACCGTTATGCTAGGACGTAGACATATACAATTCAGTTGAGTGCTACACAATATTCTATATAGTAAGTATGAGCAGCCTAAGACCGGACTGGATAACATGGTTGCCTCTAGAACCTATTTGAATCTGTAATGAACTTGCAACCGTTTCAGGTAAAAGGAACGATGTAATCATCGTATGTGATACTGCATTGAAGCGTGGATGAGCTCCAAGCAGTGTAGCTTTAGGTCATGATGTACAGCGGCCTGACGTTCGAAAATTGCAGTTTGTTCTTAATCTCCTGTTTTTTTTGCTCTTCTTTTTATTGTCAGTGCTACTTACATTGTCAATTTCGCATATTCAGTGCTAAAAAATCGATCGGACATTTCTTCAGTCCGGACTGCTTGGTTCCATTTATCACCAAAGATTCAACACTGATGCCATCAAAATACCCGCTTCCGGAGTCATTGGTAGGTGAACTATCGATTTACAGAAGAGGAACCCATCTTGTAGACTTTGCCTTTTTATCAGAGATGTAGTGCGAAAACTGTTTAAGAGCAGCCAAAAATTTGGAAACGGTGACAAAACGGAAACCTTCATCATCGCATTTTCCACATGTTCTCGCGCACATCTGAGCCATTAATGGTGCATAAAGAGTGTCATTACACAGATATATTAAGCGGCGGCAATTATGCGCTATATCCCTACATTCCGGCTTTGGTTTCGGCGGTTCTGGTGGTTGTGGTACCGGTGGTTGTGGTGCGGGCGGTTGTGGTGCAGGTGGTTCTGGCACCGGTGGTTGTGGTGCAGGCGGTTGTGGTGCTGGCGGTTGTGGTGCAGGTGGTTGTGGTCCCGGTGGTTGTGGTACTGGTGGTTGTGGTCCCGGTGGTTGTGGTACTGGTGGTTGAGGTGCAGGCGGTTGTGGTCCCGGTGGTAGTGGTGCAGGAGGTTGCGGCGCTGGCGACGGTTCTTCTGCTGTAATGAATAACTGTTATCAGCACATATAAACACTGATTTCCTTCTGCTATCAAACAGATTGTGACCCTTTCTAGCTCAAGACATTCAGTGAACTTGATTTTCTCAAAAATTTGCTACTGTTCCTTTTTTTCACTATCTGCCATTTCCGAAGATATGACACGCACAATCTGACGGGTGGTGAACACTGTTTGGGGAAAAATCATATATCTATATATATCACCCTTCAGATTGTGCGTGTCATATCGTTGGAAATGGCAGATTGTGAAAAAAAGGAACAATAGCAACTTTTTGAGAAAATCAAGTTCACGGAACGTATATATATATATATATATATATA